ATAATAATAATGAAAACTTTATTAAATGGATATTTAGCTTGTATATACAATTGCAAATCTCACTTATATCAGGTAATTTACAACTGGCTACTTAAATCACTGATTATATATGCAAAAATTATACTATTAAGATAACAAAATGACAGTACAACGTTTAAACACTTAACAGTTCCGGATTCATCTTTCCTTGTTTCGACAACAAAATATATAATACGTTGTTCGGATTGCAATCGTCGTCATTCTTCTGATACAGTAATTCTGATGTTGCTTTTGAAAACCAAAATCATTAAGCATTTCTATGAAAGTAGAACATTCTTTACTGAAAACACCAAGAGAACTAATCGAAAGATTTACAAATTTTACTGAGTTGAAATGTTCATTTTGTTCTCTAATTAATTCTTTATATTTTGATTTTTTACGCTCAATGTTTTTTTGAAGATTTGACTCGAAGTCAACTGTAAGTTCAACAATATAGAGTGTTCCCGTTGAGGTTGAAAGAAGCAAATCTGGACGGTAGGTGTCACCAGTGATGATTGATGGACTTTTATACCCTGGGAGATCCACGTAAAGATGTGAGCCGCTTACGGTCTGCAGGCTTGTTGCGAGAAAGTTTAGAACGGAGTCATGTCTCCACGTGAATCGTTCTAGATACGATTGGCAACCAGCTACTACGTGCAGAAGTGTCTCAGGAGCTAGACATCGCGAACAGTCTGAAGTCGGTGAAAAACCCCATCTTGCAAGGTTTTGGCGCGTTGGAAGGGAGTTATTGATGTATCGAACTGTAAAGTTGAATATATTTTTCGGAAGGTTCGATTGGCACGCAGACCAAATTTTAGTGAGTTGGGACAGTGAGAACTTTGTTATATTAGTGAAGAAAGAGCCTTGACAGGTTAATTGAGTATGCAGTTTATCCTCTTGTCCAGAGCGAAAGTCCATAAGAACTTGCTTAGTGGAGTTATAAACGTCATACTGAATATTTTTGCTGTTGCTAGTTGCTTTCCCAAGATCGTTAATTGCTTCGTTTGGGGATGTTTTTAGGGCTTTACGGAGAACAGTTTGACATTGAATAAATTTGACAGATGGGGGACAAATACTGAGGCCAAACTTGTTGCGGGTTAGGAAAACAGTGCTTAGCGTTCCAGATATAGGTATATCAAGCCATTTACGGATGTAACTGTTGACTTTGGAATCAATGTTTTCGGTGACCCAAGATTTCGATACGCTAGAAACTGTAAAATGCCAGGATAATTTGGACAGAAGATATCGACTGTAGAGGAAGATTTTATTTTTTGGATGTAATGGTTTGGAATCAATATCTGCCATTAGTTCTTCAACGAGTGAGATTAGTTCAGACTTGTGGTGTTTGTCTGACATATTAAAACTAAAGTATCTTCCTAAGTATTGAATAGCCTCACCGATATTGATCTTTGGAATTAGTTGCTTGTTAATAAGTAATTTAGGCAAGTATTGGATTGATTTTGTTAGAGCTTTTTTGATGCCAAAGTTACTACATTTATCAACCTGAAAAATCATGTTGGACCATTGGCACCAAATGGAGAACCGGTTTAGAAGCTGTTGATTTTCGGATTCTTGACTGCTTATGACGGCGGCATCATCAGCAAACTGAAACCAGTGGATGGGATTTATAAACTGTAAGGATAAGCCGAATTGACGATATTTATCTGTTTTTATGTGTTGTATAAAGGTGTTGAAACACATGTTGAAGAGAAGAGGACTCAGGCAATCACCTTGCAATACTCCACGGCGAACTGGTATGAAGGGGGTACGGAATTCAGATGTAATATTATTCAAGTTTTAAAATCGGTATATAGACTTTTAATTATCAATTTAACATGTTCAGGGATATGGTGGTAATCAAGTACGGATGTGATCAGATAATGATGAACTTCACCAAAAGCATTCTTGAGGTCAAGTAGGGTGATGACTAGTGAGCGTTGTTTGATTCGGGCTTTATTGATTATATTGGCCATTTGTGCAGTATGTTCTAAGGTGCCAGACATGTTAGATGTGAATCCTTTTTGAATATTATGTTCAATAAAGTTATTAACGGTTAGGAATGAATACATAGCGTTACGTAGGCAGGAAGTGAATACTTTTAATGGTATGGTCTCCAGTGTGATAGGTCGGAAATTGGACGGGGTATTAGTATCGCCTTTTTTATGGATTAGTATTGTGCAAGCTTTCTTCCATTCTGAAGGGATGGTTCCAGATAGCCACACGGCACGAATAAGGTCAGTTAAATATGTTCTTAGGAAAGGACAGCGTTTAAAACATATAATAAATAGCTGATCAAGGGGACATGGAGAGCCAGATGCCTTCGTTCTGCGTATTATATTCGTGACTTGTTGATACGATGGGGGGTCAAGGTCAAATTGAACTTCGGGGTCAGACAACGCAGGAATCCAGCTAGGAATATTGAACAATTTGTTTGGATGAATTCCAGCAAAGGTCTTAGTGAAGTGGGATAGGCATTGCGTCATGTTGAAAGATGGTAATATAGTGTCTTTCTTCCTTAGAATATTCTTGACGTAACCGCAGAAATTTTTCCCGATATATTTGTCATGGTTAAGTGACTGGCTGCTGTCTAGACTTGACTCATTGTTGTTGTTTGAGCGAAGCTTATCACGCAATATATGCGACACATATTTAATTTCGTCTAGTTCACCATTCGTTGATTTAAGGGTTTTCAGAGCTTTTTTCAAATCCTTGATTTCAAAGTCCTTATATTTATTTTGTAGCGAATTGTCAGGCACTGATTCGCTAGAACCAAAGTTTTGGGCGAAGTAATCGTACATGATGTCATTTAATAGTAATAATAATAATAATAATAATACTTTAGTATTATTAGAAATATATGCAAATGCAGTCGCGCATGAACTGGAAAGACTTTGCGTGCGTGGATTGCTGTAATGGTTGTCAAGTCGGTCATCCTAGTCAAAGGCATCATGTCTGCCTCATGATGAACGAAAACGAACGATGGCAAATGTATGGTTTACAAGCGATCGAACGAGGGAATGGTAAGCGTGTGATTTGGAATGAATTCGCTGAGGCAATGAAGGTACTAAAACTGGCGGTTGACAGAGATTTACTCGAACATTTACAGGAACTGGAAGAAGATCCAGATTTTACGTTTTTCGATTCGTTGATGGAACTACATCAGAGCACTGAGAACCACGAACTACAATGTATACTGAACTATTTGTTTCATTGGAGATTAGAAGACCCGCTCGAATCAGCACCTGAAGCGTTTTTTTCTTGCCCACCGAGTTACATGTATTCTGTGAAGGCGACGGGTGAACGATTTAGAAGTTTTGAGGTCGATCGAAAAATTGCTTATCAAGGATTCTTGGAGAAAAAACTTGCAGAACAGTTTAACAACCAGTCTTAGATGTAATATTTTTTTACACTATCGTTTGTTATTTGTATCAAAAAACATGTTTTAAACTCTGAAAATGTTGCGTTGTTATGTGTTGCTAAGTCATTGGGAGGCGTGTAGGTAATTAAGGGGTTAAAGCAATGCGAATTTGCATAACTAAGTGTATCCCAATGGATAAATGCGCGAGGCTCTGTGGGCAAAAATTGACACAAGATTTCATTTTTAAAATACATTTATTTCTTCAAAACGTTTTACGAAATTTAGTGAGGTATAATTCTAAGAACGTGCTTCGCAGGAAAATGTTTGCACAAGATTTCAGTTTTAAAATACATTTATTTCTTCAAACATTTCACAAAGTTGTACTTCTAATATGTATCGTCACTTGTTTGAGACGTTTCACTATCCGATTCGTCATCGTAGCTGCTTCCATCATCCGTTATCCATTTGGTAAGTCTTGGGGCTTCCAGCAGTTTTTGTTTCGTGACAGATTACAGATAACTGCGTTGACTTAGCCTTCTCTTGCATCTATGCCCAGTCCTTGCTCCTTGCTCAGCAAAGTCTTTAACTACGTCACCTCCATGAGTCTTTACAGATTCTCTGACATTTTTTTTCTTGGAGTACATCTTGACCAACTTCTTTTGCTGCTTGTAATGCTATTTTGCCTACAACTTTAGCACCTTGTTTGAATAGAGGGATAGCATATCTCGCAAGGCTCTTGAAAATACCTCCGATACGTGTACCGCGATACCCAGCGATGTTTCCGCCACGTTGTTGTCTCAAGAAATGATCTCTCAATATTTTCTCGTGTACAACAAGTGTAGCCCTTGGCATATTGATGTGTTCAGTTCAACTTCACACACTCAACTGATCAAATATCACTTTACTCGTCTATTTTATGCTCAAAAATCTTTTGTCAGTGCTAACATCCATAATTTTAATCCACAATGACAATGTCAGCAACTGGCGATTACATGGGCAAAATTTCCTACGGACAGTTGAAAATCACAGATCACACAGTGACACCTTGTACAATTGGGATAAAAATCTGTCCATGCGCATACAGGGCATGTACCCAAATTGGAGATGTCTAAATCTTTGTTACAACTATTACAAGTTGTGTCCACGTCTTCAGACTCATCTTAGGATTTATCAGACTGTGTATCCACATCATGTAGTGGCTGCTTGTGGGCTAGCATTGTAAGGACACGTCCATTTACGATTAGACTTTTATCAATTTCCAATTTTGCAAGACCTTTAAGGAATATATTCAGTACAGCCGGGTCTGGAATTTCAGTATTATATGGTAAAACAGCATATTGCAAAATATCTAATTCTGTCCTTTGTATACAATTTCCCCTTGAAGATTCCATGTGAGAATTTCGGGGGATGTGAGAATGCAGTGAAGAAGTTCTTCAGCCTTGTTTTTATCAACATTATCGTTTAAGTGTCCAAGTATATCTTCAACGCGCCAATGTCTCAGAGATGATCTTACCTTGCTGTCCATGGTTGGAATGACGATGTGAATTAATGATGATTATTTTATACTAATTCTGCTAGACCCTCTAAAAGTGGCGCAGGTATCAATCAACCACTCCTGCGCTGAACAAGAATTTTAATTTTCTTTCTAAAACTCTTACTTCTGTCCGCTAAATCAGCGAGATCATCTTTAAATGGTCTAAGTTTGTTCAATGTTCCTTTAGAATATGCAAAGTTTTCCAAGCAATTACATAGAAAGCGTCTCTGTTCATGAGATGCAGAATTCAACAATGCTTGCTGTTGAATTGGATGAGAAATACACAAGAGCTCCACAAACGGTCTGTGTTTCATATAACTGCTAGTCATCTCTGTTTGGCGGTCAGCAACGGAATGAAGATTTAATTGGAAATAAGACATATATAAGGGTCGGCTCACCCTCCATAGATTAGATCTAGACTCTAGTATTAATAGTCTTTACTATAGTCTTAATAGTCGTGAATATAGTCTACATAGTCATGACTATAGTCTCAATAATCTTCACTATGGTCTTAATAGTCATGACTATAGTCTACATAGTCATGACTATAATCTTCATAGTCATGACTATAGTCTCAATAGTCTTCACTATGGTCTTAATAGTCATGACTATAGTCTACATAGTCATGACTATAATCTTCATAGTCATGACTATAGTCTCAATAGTCTTCACCATGGTCTTAATAGTCATGACTATAGTCTACATAGTCATGACTATAGTCTACATAGTCATGACTATAGTCTCAATAGTCTTCACTATGGTCTTAATAGTCATGACTATAGTCTACATAGTCATGACTATAATCTTCATAGTCATGACTATAGTCTTAATAGTCTTGACTTCCGTCATAATAGTCTTTACTATGGTCTTAATAGTCTTCACCATAGACTTAATTGTCATGCCTACAGTCTTAATAGTCATGACTTTTATCTTAATAGTGATGACTGTAGTCTTAATAGTCATGACTATAGTCTTTATGGTCTTTACTATAGTCTTAATAGGCTTTACTATAGTCTTAATAGTCATGACTATAGTTTTAATAGTCTTTACTATAGCCTAAATAATCTTCACCATAGTCTTAGTAGTGATGACTATAGTCTTAATAGTCATGACTATAGTCTTAATAGTCATAATATAGTCTTAATAGACTTTACTATAGTCTTAATAGTCATGACTATAGTCTAATAGTCTTTACTATAGCGTTAATAGTCTTCACCATAGTCTTAATAGTCATGCCTATAATCTTAATAGTCTTTACTATAGTCTTAATTGTCTTTACTATAGTTTTAATAGTCATGACTATAGTTTTAATAGTCTTTACGTCTTAGTAGTCTTCACCATAATCTTAATATCCATGACTATATTCTTAATAGTTTTTACGTACTATTTGAAAAACGAGCAGGAGTGCTTTATTAAGTTTAAAGCCACGAGCGCGCAGCGCGAGTGGCTTTAGACCTAATAAAACACGACCGAGTTTTTTAAATGGCTTCAAAACGTTTGCATAATAAGTCAAATCTTTATATAAAAATATTTATATAAAAATATTTATATAAATTTTTTTATATAGTTTGCATTACAATGGTCTTTTGTTAAAGTGTTCTTTAGCTGGTATAAAGACGTATGCACGTGACTAATTTCTTACTTAAGTTTGGATAATTTCTTCCTGAATTATTAATGAGTTTTTGAATATAGTCTTAATAGTTTTCAACATAGTCCTGATAGTTAACCTGCACCGTAGCACGAGAACGAACGAATATGCAGAGATGCAAATGTGTTTTGGTCAAAATCTGAAATCTGATTGGATTGCATATTAATTAATCCCATACGCATCGGACGAGTAGAAACAAGAGCGAACGAATATATAAATAATAAACAAGAGTTAATTTGCATGATCATGAGTCTTGACATTTTTACAAACTGAAAAGCCCAGAGGGAATAAAAATATAAAGTTAAGTCAAGACGTGCAGCATGTAATTAATATATTTGTAGTACTACAAAAATTGACACCATTGCGATAATACGCATTGTTAAGAATTAAAAACTGAAGCATGAATCCGAAACATTGATTGATAAATGAAAATATACTGCGAAATGGTCCAGTTTGGGATAGTGTCATACTGTAAATGCAAACATCGCGCGAGATGACCTGGCGTTTTGTGAACATATACAACAACGTGAAGGAGGCTGGAGCTATATGCTAATACAGCTCTTGCTGTTAAGACAAGCAGAAGGTAGTAGAACGCACGGAAAAGCTGCCCAACTGTGGCAAGTAATGAGTTTAAAGCGTCGACGTTTCTCTCAATGACATTGGTCGACTCTCCGTTGATGCGTTAATAAAGCGTTAAAAACATTATTTAGCAGCATAAAACTGATAAAACTGAGATTTAGGACCTCCATTTGGTTGTTCATATACCATATAAAGTTCCGTGTATACTGAATAATTATTGTGTGACACAAGCTGAGCCTACTGGAAATACTCGAAATATAGCTAGCTTGTTAATTTATTTTCTAAACTCAAGTAACTGCATGCATAAATTCAAATTGACTATTTCCCAAGAGGTTCTAGCAATATCAATTGTGAGTTTTCAGTGCACATCCCCCAAAACGTTAAGTTATTTCCAAAGATTGATTGAATATTTGCCATGCATGCATGCATGGATCAATGTATATAGACTTTGTTAGCTACTTGCTTAGTGTTGTTGCCGATCGATGCAGGGGAAAGCGAAGTCTACTTAATATTGCAGTCATGGAACAGTATTTTCAAGCGGAAATTAATATATTTGGCGCGGTATATTATATAATTAATATAAATTATACAAGTTGCAAACAAGTTTCAAAGTTGGAACACGCAAACGGGACGATTGCACTATAGACCTAATTGGCATTTATTCTGTAATTTTCAAAGG